CCACTAGACTTGATCTCTAAAACCTTCAAATAATCATGGGGTCAACCCAAATACCACCCCATACCGTTGATTTTGTAAAGGAAGCCTTTTTATCTTTGCTCATGAATTGGAGCTTCTTCAGCCTATCGATTGGGTAAACTCAAGTACCACCTCATACATTTGGTTTTGTAATGGAAGCCTTTTCACTTTGCTCATGAACAGGAGCTTCTTCAGCCTATCGATGAAATCTAACAAATGATTCTGATACATTGCCAGTTCTTCACAGTCGAGATCCATTTCATTACCTCTATATGGGGTTTCTTTGTGAGAGGTTCTATGGGAGAGAAAAGTGAGGATTTGCAGGTCAAGAACAGAAGAGAGAAGAAAGAGGAAGTTAGAGAGAGAGTGCTTGTTGGACTCCTTTTCTATTCTCTGCCCATGATTCTTAGAGGGAGAGATTGAAGAGATTCACGCTATATCTAGTTTGAGAGAGAGAGAGAGGAGAAATTCAATGAGAGTATTTTAGAGAGAGAGACAGAAGGTCGGGAGTTTTAAGATAGTAGAGGCGTTCACTTTTGACCTTCTTAACAAGTTGGCCAGTAACACCTCAATCTCGTGTTGAGCTTTGACATTTATCAAATGGCTTAGATTAAGGGTCTTGTGCCATTAAGTGTGGTAGGGTTTCACAAGGTCATTTCCCTAATTATAATTATGATATTATCATATAATTATAATATTGATATGTATTATTGTTCTTGTTATTATTATTAATATTATTTTTATTATGAAATATCATGAGCATCATTAATATTAGTATTTCTTTTATACTATATTCGAAGATTTTATTGCCGTAATCACTGAGAAAACAAGGGAATACAATAAAGATGTTGCATTATTGGAAATAACCAAAATAACAAAAGATGCTTCTCTTTTTGCCAAAGCATCTACTAAGTCATTCCCCTACCTATAAATGTATTGGAAAGAAACTCCTAAACTAGTGGCCAAATCCATAATTTACAGCCAATAATGACGAAGCTACCAAAGTACTTGGTATTCCTTCTTACACCAAATAATGGTGTTTAAGGAATCACCCTCCACTACACAGAGCTGAGAAAACAAGGGATTACAATAAAGATGTTGCATTATTGGAAATAACAAAATAACAAAAGATGCTCCTCTTTTCGCCAAAGCATCTGCTAAGTCATTTCCGTACCTATAAATTTATTGGAAATAAACTCTTAAACTATTGGCCAAATCCATAATTTATAGCCAATAATGACGAAGCTACCAAAGTATCTGGTATTCCTTCTTACACCAAATAATGGTGTTTAAGGAATCACCCTCCACTACACAGAGCTGAGAAAACAAGGGATTACAATAAAGATGTTGCATTATTGGAAATAACCAAAAAAACAAAAGATGCTCCTCTTTTCGCCAAAGCATCTGCTAAGTCATTCCCCTACCTATAAATGTATTGGAAAGAAACTCCTAAACTATTGGCCAAATCCATAATTTACAGCCAATATTGACAAAGCTACCAAAGTACCTGGTATTCATTCTTACACCAAATAATGGTGTTGAAGGAATCACCCTCCACTACACAGAGCTGCCCCCTCAATTTCTCAGTAACCAACTTCAAGCCTTGCAAAAGAGATGCCATCTTAGCAAGATTAGCCACAGCTATTCCCCAAGGACCTGCATAACCAAAAAGAACAATCCAATTCAAATCTCTAACACCCCCCCCACCCCCTCCGCCCAAAACCAGCAACTCCAAGAATGCTAAAAGAACTTCAATCAAAATTCAATTTGTAGCACCCTTGTAAATGGACCTGGCAGACACTTCACCCTTCGCATCTTAAAATGATTTGAAAGATTCAAACGAATATCAATCTCCGACACACCCCACCCTTCTTTTGTGATGGATAGCCAACTCCATGAGGTATGTAGGATATTGTCCATAATTATATCAAAGGGCAATGACGACCCTACAAAGGTCCTACGGTTTATTTCCTTATATATTTCCCATAGAATCGCTCCTCTTAAAATCATCCAAATCATATTGGCAACTTCAGGTACTTGAAAAAATGAGAATTGCGTGAGAATGCCTAAAATATCAGAAGGCAACATCCAACGCATACCTAGCTAATGAAAACACCAATTCTATACTCTAGAAGCAAATTAACAATGAATAAATAAATGGGACTCAGATTCACTATCATTTTGCACATTAAATAAATATTTGGAAGAACCTTTTCCTCTCTTAATAAGGTTGTCTATTGTTGGGATTTTCTCTTGCAAAGCCAGCCATAAAAAAGCTTGGACCTTATGGGGGGTAAGCCACCTCCAAATATTATATAAGTTATTATCTGTCTACCTCCTACGATCATGAAAAAGCAGCCCATACTATCCCATCTGACTCACGTTTTAAAATGTAAATTGAGTCCAAGCTTTGTATTAAGGAAGAAACTGATTGAATAATCCACTGGGGATTCTATTATAAAGAAAGTTAATATTTCAAACCAATTGGCTACCCTTCTCTCTACCACCTCTGATACCTTGGCTTGAGGGGGGGGGTTGAAATTCTTTCGAAAAGCTCCGAAAATGATAAGTTCAATAACCTATCCCCCAGCCACTTATAATGGCAAAAGAAATATTATCTCTCCGTCTAACCATCCACCCACATTTATTTCAACAATCGATTTTGTAGAGTAAAATTGCTCTCAACATAAAAGAAATATGGGAAATTATCACAAATATACTTTAATTTTTGTTTATTTAGACAAAACCCATCAACTTTCATAAATCTCATCCACACCCTTTTTATTCAATTTTGGGCATTTTTTGACCAAAATAACCTTCACGGTAGTCGTATTACCGAGAAACACAATTACAGTAGTTTAAGTACCGTAAAAACTAACTCATATTATACGATATTTTAAGTATCATAGAAACTAAGCAATGTTTTACGGCATTTAAGTATTGTAAACCCACCCATATTATACCGCATTTTCAGTACCGTAAAAACCCACCCATGTTATATAGACCTTAAAATGCCGTAAACCTTTTTATCTTGTTTATATTTATCTGTCTCATCTCTCTAATTCTTTTTATATTTATCTATTATTTCTCTCTCTAATTTTTTTTAATATTTATCTCTTTCATCTCTTTAATTCTTTTTATGTTTATCTCTTCGTTCTCTCTCTAATTCTTTTTAATATATATCTCTTCTTTCTCTCTCTAATTTTGTTTATATCTTCTTTCTCTGTTTAAATATTTTCTCTCTCTAACTCTCTTTGTCTCTCTACTTACTTCATCAACTCAACAAATGCGATTCTAACGTGATATAACCGTCTAATTTTCATAGGAGATGGGGTTGAATGGAGTTTTTATAGGGGAGGGTAAGGTACTCCCAAGTTATACAAATCTCCTTGGAGAGAAAAGAGAGAGAAAAGATTTAAAGAGAGAAAGAAGAGATAAAAAAAGAATTAGAGAGAGAAAGAAGAGATAAACATAAAAAGAATTAGAGAGATAAAAGAGATAAATATAAACAGAAGGAGTTACGACATTTCAAGTGGTGTATAATATGGGTTAGTTTTTACGATACTTAAAATGCCATATAACATGGGTGGGTTTACAATACTTAAAATACCGTTTAACATGGCTTTGGGTTTACAGTACTTAAAACGCCATATAACATGGGTTAGTTTTTACAGTAATTACAATACAGTATTTACCGTGAAGGTTATTTTGATCAGAAAAGCCCAAAATTAAACAAAAAGGGTGTGGCCGAGATATATGAAAGTTGAGGGTTTTCTTTCTAAATAAACTAAAATTAAGGTATATTTGTGATAATTTCCCAAAAAATATTTAACATTGTTTACCTCGTCCAATCCAAGGGCCATGCCTATCCATCCCATACTTAGCTACTAAAATCTGACAACCACAGATGGTCATGATAATGAACACTCATCCACCACGGAGACCGTCCTAATCCCAAGGCTATCCTTACCCTTTGATGTTCACACACTGTCCCATCTCAACAAATGGAACTTGCGATTCTCATAAAAAGAATCCCACAAAAGGTTACACATCATACGCTCGATTCTTTTAACCACAACCCACGACATCTGCAACATTGACATCAAATAAATTGGTAGATTAACTAAACAAGCCTTAATTAGCATATCCATGCCTCCCAAGGAGAGATACTTGGTTTTCCAAAGATCTAGCTTTCATTGAACTCTCTCAATAACCTTATTTTAAGAGGAGATTGGGAGCCTTAAAATGGAAATAGGCATGTCCAGATGGGTAAAAGTAAAGGAATCAACTTTACAGCCCAAGCAAGATTCCAATAAAGTCATCAAGCTGTCATCACATCCTATCCCAATCAAAGAGGTTTTGGCGAAGTTCACCTTAAGACCCAAAGCCACTTCGCAATATAGGAGAAAACGACATATGTTGGTCAATTGCCCTAGGTTAGTATTGCAAAACATGAGAGTATCATTCGCTTA